TACTCTTTTGTATATTGCCTCAGGCCTGACCAAGCCTTGATTGCTGGGTTCTGGAGGAAGTCTAGCAAACCTATTGAAAACCCTGGGGTCAACACTGATTGCTTTGCTGAGATATACTCTAAGGAATGATAACATGATGGCTAATTAGTCACGTCTTATTTTTCTTGCCAGATTGGTTGAGATCCTTGCATTTTGCACGGGTGCTTTTTTGTTCTTTCTGAATGAAGAGTTGCTACAACTGGTATTTGGCGCGGCAGTCTGAGAGGCTGCAAGCCCTTGATCCCAGAATTTTGACTCTCTTGGTTTTCTTTTTTTCTTACTTTTATATTCATCCGTGGGTACCTTGCATTCAGGACCTGACACCCTGAAGAGAACAACATATTTCCTAATGCCAGGTTAAGCCACCGTCCTTCTGGTGCCTTTTGCACACTTGAGTTACGAGACTTTTGATCTGTGGGTGTTGCAAGGGCCTTGTTTGTATGGATTCGGCACCCGTTGTGTCCTTTGCCAAGCAGGGATGTTTTCCTTAGCCCTGTCATTGGTAACATCTCTGTGATCTCAGTTCAGCTGTAGGTGGCCTTGCGCTAGGTCCAGGGCATCCAGATTTCCCTCACTGCACTGAGTCACTCACCCACCTCCTTTACCAGCCTGTTGGGTTGTTTATTTCTACACCCACAGTGTCATCCATTCACTCCTCTGAGTGTCCTCTTAATTAAGGCCCTCAAAACCTATATCCTTGGTAGTCATAAAATTTGTTTACACAATCAGACATTCTCATGATAGGAAAAATGGTGCTGTTTTGCTAAATCCATGCACATTCTTTTAAGCTTTTCTCCACATATAAGTTCTATTTTCATTTTGTAATATAACACTAGTATTTTTGCCATGCCAGTATACTCACATCGATGACCTGAGTTCAAAAACCTATATACAACTTATTCTTTGTTAACTGTGGAAATCTGGGTTGTTTACAACTGGTGGTTTTTGAGGTGCCATGTCAGTGAATAACCTGAGAGTTTAATCTTCGTGCATGTTTTAAATTATTTCTTTGTTATATAAGCCCAGAGATGGGTTTCCTGGGTCACAGCACATGCATTTTCTTTCGCTTCTAACTATTCCTCCTGCATGGTGTCCTTCTCTCCAGAATACATTCTGTGTTCTTGTGGGAAAATCATTCTGCAAAAGCAATGAATTGTAATCATTTTACTTCCTGGAAATTGTCAACATTCCCATAGCACCCTGGCAAGAATAAAGCCCTGTGATCCTGATGTGGCTTTAGTGTCTCTGTAGCATCTGATCTCAGCTGCCTTTTCCTTTAGGGATCCAGATTCAACTCCATTTCTGCCACCCTGGATCTCATGTGCTGGATCCCTTTGCGTGTAGGATGCTTACTTTTTTTTGGTCCAGATTCTGGCAGGAAGCCTGTAGCATGCTCAGACTGCATTACTTGATGAGTATTTAATAAAGTGACTGTGGGCAGTGGTGGGAGCAAAATTTAGGGAGAGTGTGGTCCCTCTGGGAGAATGGTCTTGAGAGCCCCGAGCACTCGGGGTTTGTAGGAGCAACACAGAAAGCTGTGACCGGGATCTTCCCAGCAGACCACACTAGCCGAGCTGGAAGGAAGCCATGGCGTAAGTACTTCAGTCCCATTTTCCATCTGCCCACAAGCTCCTGTTGGAAACTGCCCTGGCCCAACAGGAAGACAGTGGCCCCAGAGCCCAAGGGTGCTGTCCCCACAGTGCAGCCTCAGGTGAAGATGCTGCAGAGTGGATCTGGTGAGTGAATGAACAGGCCCACACACCTCTTCCTCCTATGCAAGGACTGAAGGTGCTTTAATGCTGATCAAGCACTTAACGCAGTCTTAGGTTTTATTTATTCACTATCCTATTCCTCAAACAAAAGAATACCGGAAAGACAGCCACGATCGTTTTGGCTTGTGTGAACAGACGTACAGCCAGTTGAGCCAGGACATCCCCTGGTCCACAGAAGGGGCTGGAAAGGGTGAATGTCTGAACATAGGAGGCAGAAGGGGCACAAGATACCAAGAGGGTAATACAGAACCCTTCTCCAATCCCCGCAAGAGTCAGGTGCTAGAGCTACGGAGATCCACATTCCCCTGCACAGAGAGAGGAAAGCCCCAGCTGTATCTCTGCATGCAAGGTCTTTGGTGGTATAACTCTGCTTTGGAGGAAACATGGACACTTGGGAATCCTAATCCCCAAGCAAGGACTCAAAAACCTCTCTTCTGACAGGTCTATAGCTGCAGTGGGTGCCCACAGCACAACATTGGAATTGCACAGACCCTCTCCACTCTGACCTTAGGGACAGTCCAGGATGTCAACCCAGGGCTTCCTTCCTGGCTGGGGGGCCTTGAGTGCTCCTGTAGATGCTCTGTGGACACTGCCAGTGATCCCATTAGCTTCCTAATCTGAGGCAGAGGCCTGGAGCCTCCCTAGGGTCAGGCCTCTGATCACATTGCCGCCAAGCCCTGAGTTTGTTCAGCATCCTAAGACTCTCAACAGGAAGTAGGGAGGGCTGGTCTCAGGGTGCATAAGCCCTTGGGCCTCAGTTCCTTGTTTGCAAACAACCTACACTTGAGGCCTGACTGACGGAATAACATCCCGGGAACACCCAGGACAGAGCCTGGTGCTTTCCATGGGCATTCCACAGGTCACCCGTTTCCTGCTCACCCTCCAGGGCTTGGTGCCATCTGCCCACCTCATCCTGGCCTCTTTCATAGGCACTGGAGTTGGCACTGTGACACTTCCAGGCAGGACGCCCTGACTTCACTCACGCTTGCTGGTGGCCTTGCTTGGCCCTCAGGAGGCAGCAGGGCACAGCAGACAGGACCAGGACCTGTACCCAAGCCACTGCAGCTGTCCAGCTACAGCAAGCGACCTGCTTACCCTGTACCTCAGCTTCCAGTACTGTCTATGCAGTAGGGAAAGTAGCTGCACCTCCACGATCAGACTGGTCACATGTGCTAGAGTGCTCAGAACAAAGCCCCTGTGGCTTGCTATTTTATCACCTTCTTTAGAATTGGAGGAAGAATAGAATAAACTCATGTGTTCCAAGCTCAAGTCAGCAGCAACCAGAGAGTATGAGAGGAGGTGGCAAAGGCACTAGGTGCACATGTCCTTGTCCCCAGCCCTGCAGTTCCTGGGCATCCAAGGGATGCTGGGGGCCGATGGGGGTGGAAGATGTGATAGAGACAATCAGAACAGTCTCAGTGCCACTGAAGTCCATAGTTTATTCAGTGGCTCTGAGTGTCTTCACGTACGAAATGAGTTTTTGTCCCAAATCTCTTCCTGATCTAAAAAGGACCTTGATTCTACAGAGAAAAGGTTCCAGGAAAGTCATCCCAACCAGGAAGTTTATACCCAATGCTGAGCTAATGTGACTCAGATCAAAGAATGGGCACAGACACGGTCCCCATGGCCTGTCATGGGACAGGCAAGAGACTCTTTCATCCAGCTGGTCACAAGGTCATTCTGACAGCACTGAATACCTCCATCCCACAATGGCGTGTCCTGTTAGCAGACCCTAACACCTTTAGTGACTAAAGAAATAACATTTTTATAAGATCAGGATTACTTTGACCTGTTTTTATGTGGCTTTGTGTACTGTTGATGCGAAAATTTTAATTTTTTAACATTAAGAATATCTACAATATTTTGATCATTTGGGGAGTCAGCTCTTTTTTTTTAAGATACTGGAGGCAGCTCACTCTACACTCGAAGGACATTCGGGCGGTCTCTCTGCCTGGCCAGTTCCGGACTTGGGGAGAAGTGAGCTGGTAGAGACCTTTTGTGCGGGGAAGGAGCCAGGGACACGGGTATGGAAGGAGACAGGACCCCTGACATGTGCGGCTTGCTCATGGCCGTAGCACAGCCTCTCGACAGCTGTCGCTCCCAACTGGCTCCTCTGTTCCTTGTCCTGGGGACCTCAGTCCTGACGCTTTAGTACTAGTAACTCAGCAAATACTCCTCCAGGGAAGGTAAGCCATGCTGGAACTGATACAGACCTTACAAAGCGAGGACACAGCTTTTGGTGGAGCCAGGCTTCCCTGTGATCCTCTAGTTCATACCAGACACACTAACTCCTCTCTCTGGCTTGCTGACTACGGTTTCTCTAATGGCCGCTCCTCCTGCGCTCCCCACCCTGCCCCCTGGTGGGAATAACCTTTGCTAGTTCTTTGCTACCAGACATCAGAGTGGGAGGCTGGGGGCTCCGCTGGTAATGCTGTCCGCGGGTTATCATATACATTCTTACAACTTTAAGTATCACCTGTCAACTGGTGATTTCTAAATGTCCAATTTAAACTCCAAAATCACAGTGCTCTGGACTCTTACTTGATATCTGGATATCTCCCCCGTATCTCAAACTTGGGTCAAAATAGTGCCTGGGATGCATAGGCTCTTCCGCTACCCAGCCTGCCTCCCATCATTTCCTCAACTCCTGTTCTTAGCTTTGGGGCTCATCCCTGCCTGCTCCTTCCCTCACTACGCGCGTCTAACCCACCAACACCTCCTGCCAATGTTCCCACTGAATAACGCGGGTCTCACTCACCTCTCCCATCCCACAGTCCACCAGTCCCCGCCCTCAGCTGTCTTCTGCAAAAGCCCCTCCCCCTCAGTGTTCCGCTTTCAGTTCCTTTGCCCTCTCAGCCCCTCTCCAAATAGCAGCAGCCAAAGGACCTCCTGAAGGAAGTTTACGTTGCTCTCTACTTTTCCTTGGTTAAACCTTTCAGTGTTGCTCTCCGTCCATGGGACAAAATCCAACTCCTCATCCCGTGCAAGCTCTGGATGATGGCGCCCTCACCTGCACCAGACTCACCTCTCCTACACACCCCACACTCATAACCCGGAACCCTCCCCAGCTGCTCAGAATCTGCATTCTTCTCCTATGCCAGATCTCAGCTGAAACGTCACCTCCTCTGTTAGCCTTCTCCAGGACCAGCGCCAGTGGGTGCTGAAGGAGGTGTTTAGTAGACTGCTTACCTGTTAGAGGCTGGACAGTCCCACGCTGGTGTCTGCAGGCCAAGAGCCGGGGAAAACAGTAGCCGCTGTGTTCAGGAAGCTGGAAGCTACAGAACGCAGGCACAGGGATGCGGCCCCAGTCTGAAGCTGAGACCTGGGAGGCCCTGGCAGGTGCTGGTGCGAATCTGTGTTCAAAGGCTGAGGAATCTGGAGTGTTCTGTCTAAGGGTGAAAGCAGCAGGGAGAAATGTGCCCGCTGCGGAAGGGTCTGGTTGGTGTCAGCAGGCACGAGCTTCCCTCCCCTCCACCGCTCTACCCCATCAGGGCCTCTGGCCTGGCAGATGATACCGCCCACATTCAGGGCGGGTTTCCCACTCAGTGAGCTGAGCCACGTGCCAGGCATCCCCAGGAGCAGCCTCACAGACACACCCAGGAGTGACCTCACCCATTTGCCAGGTGTCTCTTAAACAGGCAAGGTGACAGCCGGGATTAGCAGCTCCCCAGGCAGTCATCATCCTCCCCATTGCTCCGGACAACCCACAGTGCTCGTGTACATGCATACATGGTTTTCTTGAATATGATCGTATGTGTTCTCTGGACTACAAGGTTAAAGGAGACAGGACCAATGAGGGTCTCGTCCATTACAGGGCCCAGTACAGCATCTGGCATGTATGAGGACATTTTATAAATATGTCTGGAAAGGGAGGGAGAAAAATGAAGGGAGGGAAAGAGAAGGGGGAAAGGGAAGAAAAAGAAAGGATGGGGAAGGGAGCAAGAGAAAGGGAGCAAGGAGAGAGAGAGAGAGGGAAAGAGTTGTTCTAAATTGGCATCATCATAAATAGAGATGTCTGCTTAGAGCTCCGGAGGCAAGCAGAGGCATTGAGCAACGCCTGGATGTGTCATGGTTCTTTTGTTCTTTAAGTAGCTACCTCCTGTCAGGTGCTTTATGAATTATTTCAGCTTTTTTTTTTTTATAGCCCTAAGCAAAGCTGTAAGAATTCCCTTTTGTTTGTAAGAAAAAAGCAGCACTGCAAACTTAAGGAGCTTGCCCAAAATCTCACACTGGTTCTGAATGTGAAGGGCCCAGGCTGTCCCCACTGCTCCCTAAAGTCAGTCTCCATGGTTTAAGTGACACAGGAGTAGCTGATCTCCCTCCCAGGCCTATGGCTGACAACCACTGGCTACTTTTTAATTTTTTTCAGTTGCTATTTGAAAGAATTTGTGAAGAACTTCCACATTTGGGTTAAAGTAGAAGATGGAATTGCTGCAGGGGTTCCATGTGAAGCAGAGGAGTGACCTCACCCCACCTGACTCTTGGGGGAGCTGATGTTGATTGGCGGATTCTCTTGAGCAAGGCGGGACCTGTTTCCATGGTGTCAGCACAACAAGAGTCCAGGCTAAGGCTGCCTCCGGTGCAGAGCTCTTGGATTTCATATACACAGTAAGTGGTTTTCTAACATCCCTTCCTTATTACTACAGAATTTACAGAACACTCATATTTATTACAACCTGTGTTACTCACTCCTCTGTAAATTGAGGTGCATCTACCAGAAAGACGGAAATGTGTGTAACTAAATTCACAAAGATTGATGTAAAGGAGTGTGTTTGCTAAATTTCAGTAGTCAGTGATAGGCTAGTGAACATAAATGAAAATAAAAATGCAAACAAATATATGCAAATAAATATGCAAATAAGACTTTTAGAAAGTCCCTCTTTAAAAACTAGCTTTATTTGTATATAAGTCATACCCCATAAAGTCAAATCCATTTCAAGTACACCAGTTCACTGGCTTTAGTATTTTAGTGTTGTGAAACTATTACCCAGAAAAATCTAATTTAAAAACATTGCATTATCCCCAAAAGAATCCCTGTACTTACCAGCAATCATGCCCCATGCTGACCCTCATCCCAGCTCTAGGTAACTAAAAAGCCTACATTTTGCCTCCATTGATTTGCCTTTTCTGAGCATTTCACATAAATGAAAGTACATACTATGTGGTCTTCTATGATTCACTTAGTGTGTTTCAAGATTTACCCATGAAGTATATACCAGTACTTCATTCCTTTCTAATCACCAGATGATAACTCATTATACAGATTTTCCACATTTTACTTATCCTTTCATCTATGGGTAGGTGATTGAGATGTTTCTACTCTTTGCCTATAATGAACAATGATTCTATGAATATTCATGTGCAGATATTTGTGTGGCTATGTTTTTGTTCTATTGGACACATATCCCTTTGGGAGATTCATACTTTTCAATGTAAAAACTTACTATAGTAACCAAGATGATAGAGTTACTCTAGCTTGGCATGGTTGCACATGCTTGTAATCCCAGCTACTTGGAAAAGGAGGCAGGAGGAGTCCAAGTTTAAAATTAGTCTGGGCAACTTAGCAATATTTTTTCTCAAAATAAAATTTAGAAAGAGCTTGGGATATAGCTCAGTGATGAGGCACTTGTCTAGCTTGTGGGAGATCCTAGATTCTGTCTAGTACTGCAAGGAAACAATTGTGGTAGTGCTAGTACAAGAATTCAATGGAATAGAATGGAAAGCTAAGAGTGAATGCTTACATTAATTCTCAGTTGCTTTTAACAAGGGTTCCATATATAAAAATTAACTCAAATGGGTCACAACTAAATATAAGGCTCAGTACCATCTCAGAGGGGAGCACAGTAACAAATCTTTGTGAGGTGGAGAACCACCTTCCTCCTTTGTGTGTAAATATTTTGTGGTCCCAATACCATCTGTTGAAGGCTCCTCTTTCCCATTGAACTGTCCTGTCACGTGAGTTGAAATCAGGAAGCAGAGTCCTCCAACTTTGTTCTTTTAAAAGTATTTTTGGCTATTCTGAATCCTTCAAATTTCTATATTTTTTTAGGATCCACTTTTCAAGTTCTTGGAAATACATTTTGCTGCCCAATGGCAACTTTTAGTTGAATTGCAACTCATCCATAGGAAGTTGAACAATCTTCTTGGTACAAACTCAAATGTGGTCATGCGCGGTTGGGGGAAGCCTCAGCCTGGACGCAGGTGCCATGCGAGACCAGGAAAGAGGATGCAGACGCTGATTAGAGCGGCACTTTTGCTTCCAGTGGCATCTGCAGATTAGAAACACTGGTACTTTTGTTTACCATTTTATGCCTGATCAAATCCTCTAGGATAAGGGTTTTTTCCTTAAAGGAAATGTAAAAAGTAAAGCCCAGTTGGTGCCATTTTATGGTTACTTCATGGCACATGTGTAATAAATAATCCTTTAGACTGAGGTCGAGACGTTGAGGTTAGGGTTAGGGTTAGGGTTAGGGTTAGGGTTAGGGTTAGGGTTAGGGTTAGGGTTAGGGTTAGGGTTAGGGTTACAGCTAATTTCTAACTGGTTAGATGTGTCAAGTTCCTGTCTCACAAAGCCAAAGAATGGACTTGAGAACAAAGCAGATGAATGGAAGGAAAATTTCATTAGAGAATCCTCCTGAGAAGCAGGAGGGGAACTTAAAGTGGGTTTCTACTGGGGCTCTTTGTCTAGGAGGTTTTGAAACTGTAAAATCACATTACAAGTTAGTTTGGGTCAAACCATAATCAACCTATAGTTTTACAAATGCTTTCACTTAGCTAATACTGATCTAGTAGGAAAACAAGGTATGTAACAAGGCGGAGTAGAGCAGAGAAGAATCAAGACATTTCTGGAAGGGATAGGAGTGAGCATCCGAGTGTTTTGGTCATTTAGCTACATGCTTGTTACATTGTTTCAACATGTTTGTTACGATGAATCTGTGTGTTTGTTGTGCTGTTTGGCTTAATAGACCAGATGGTATTAGTTAGAGCACAGCTTTGAGCTGCTATTTATCTCTGGCTGTGCTCACAAGTCAGGCCCTGGTGCTTCTGTCTTGGGGTCTGGTTTCTATGGACACAGCCCTTGACCACAGGCCTGGCTTGCCTCATCTCTATTCTGACTCTATCTTGGGCCTTGTCCCTTTCTAACTGCCTGTCAATCACTACATAACTAAGCCGTCTGCCTTATTAGGGTGAGGGTTAGGGTTAAGTTTAGAGACACACTGTTACCCCAGTATGGAGAAGGATCCAGAGCTGCTTGTTACACATGCAGGATCTTGGACCCCATCCCAGATCTACAGAGCCAGCTTCCAGGTACACAGCCTCCCCACAGGAGCTGGAGAGACCAGCAAGCGGCATCTATCTCCACAGCCAGACCTGGCTCCTCCTGACTAGGCTGGGCCCTGAAACCCCAGGAACCCCCGTCCCCTAGCCAGCTGCCAGAGTGAGTGGCCAGCCTCTCTGGGAGACCTGGGGAGCACCACGGCAGAGAATGATGCTGCCTACCGGCTGGCCAAGCCTCTCCCCCAGGCTGGTTCTCTGTGCCCCAGAACACCCCCAGTTGAGCCCAGGGAAGGAAGCACCCAGGTCATCAGGGAGGGTAGGCAAGGCTTGGCCTCCTGTGTAGATATTGTTTTCAGGTTCTGTGTAATAGCTTTGATTTTGCCTCTTGGCATAAACATATTAGTTCTTTGTCTCTTTGCACAAACAACTGTGGATCCTTGGTCTACACTGGAGACTCCTTATCCTTGCCTACATTTGGGATCCTCCTGTGTCAGTCACCAATATGACTCCCATGTAACCTTTGCAGGGGGCGTTGAGGTCTCTTAATTCCCAGTCTGGTGAAAGTTTTCTTCCTGTCCCCTGAGCACTTATGGCCCTGTCTCTTGACCTCTCTGGGTGTCCTTGAAATTTAACAGGACAGACCCGAGAGTGGCTTATATGAAGAGGATCTCTGCCCTCACCAAGTATTTCAGATTCAGTAGTCTGAGGTTAAGCCTTCTTGAGACCTCAGCTTGAGCCTTGAGATCAGCAATGTCCCCAGAGGCTGCAGCTCAGGTAGCCTCTGTCCCCATTCCTATTTTCTTTTTTTTGTTTGTGGGGGGCTGTACTGGGGATTGCACCCATGGCCTTCGCACTGAGTTACAACCCCAGCTCTTTTTGTTTTTATTTTAAAACGGTGCCTCTCTAAGTCACTACGTTGCCCAGGCTGGACTCTAATTTCTAATCTTCCTGCCTCAGCCTCCCAAGTAGCTGGGATTACAGGTGTGTGCCACCATGCCCCGCTCACACAGATCTGTGCAACCCTGGCAAGGAATCAAGCGTTGCCATAGAATTTCCTAAATGGAGGGTCTCCCCTGCAGTTTGTCATGGAACTGACCAAGATGTCAGACATGACAAGACTCCACCAAGCCGTGGCTGTGGGGGACTACGGCGCAGTGAAACGGCTTCTGAAGAAAGGCCTCTGCAACCCGAATCACAAGGACGCGGACTGGAACGACCGGACCCCACTGCACTGGGCTGCAATCAGAGGTGAGCAGTTGGTACCAAGGCGGAGTCCGTTGTTCTTTGGCCCCCACCCATGTGGTCCCCATCTGCTGTGGGGCGGGGACAGAAAATTTCCCTGGAGCCAGGTGGGGCAGGTCAACCCCAACATGGCCGTGTGCTGGCATAGCACCTTGGGCACGTTGTTTACTGTCTCGGCCTCGGTTTATTCTCCTATATGACAAGAGAAGCTGTGCCACTCTGGTCCCGCGGCGGGTGCCCAAGAAGAGTGTCAGTATACGTAGTGTGATGTAAAGATACAGTGAAGGCTTAAATTTTTAAAATTTATCACAGTAGAAGACACACTGCCTTTAATTCCCCTCCAAATCTTTCCCTGTGCTTTGAACACACTCATCCCATTGCCCTTGCCATGTTCTGCAGCAGCTCTGGAGTCCTCTTTCAGGAGTGTATGTAGTTGCACTGTCCCGGCTGCCTTGATGTCTTGAATTGATTCGAAATGTTTCCCTTTCCTGGTTATTTTGACCTTGCGGAAGAGCCGGAAGTCACACAATGCCAGTTCTGGTGGCATGCAGCAGCTGCATTAACCATAATATTGATCACAACTGGTAAAGACACTCAGGAAAGAGGACTTCCAGAAGTGCTTTCACATGTGAAAAGAACCACACCATGGGGTAAGTTTGCTCAAAGTGAGAGAGAGTGTTTTGGGGAGGATTCCTGGTAATGTATCTTTTACTGTAATGAATTTTTACATTTTCGTTTAAACATTGTTGCATTTTTTTATCACACATTTTACAATGCCTGGGGTAGTCTGCTCTCCGTCAAAACTGGTAGTTTATCTGCTTGTCCACGGTGGAAGCAGAGCAACACGGAAAAGGGGAAAACTTCTTGTCTCATTGTGGGTTCCCCACGGCCCACACAGCCTGCCCTAGGATGGGAGGACAGGAGGATGGGAGGAAGACAGGCATGGACTCAGGCTGGGCTTGTTGAAGGCCTGGCACCAGGACACCACCAAAGAATGATCAGCAGCAAAGCGCTGTGGCCAGCTTTGCTTCGTAAATATTTGCTTTGACTCCTGTGTGAGAATGCGTCCACAGAAAGCAAGACCGATGACATAAGGCTTTCTTGGGAAATTTGCAAAATCCAAGTACAAAGGATTGGTGGCTGTACCCTTGTTAGGGAGCATTTGCTCTGTGTGGGGCTCTCTGCTCGGTGCTTTATGCCTGTGACCTCACTGGCACCCTGCAAGTATTCAGTGAACAAGCGGTAGCATCTCTCCTTCTGCAGAGGAAGACTCTGAGCTACCGATGATGCTCCTTGCCCGTGGTGACCCTTGCTAGGTAGCGATACTGTGAGGATCTGAACCCACAATCCCCTGGTTAGCAAGCCTGGGCCCTCCAGCTGTGTAGCAACAAGGGCAGTGGGCTTTAAAATGTTTGTTTTGGAAAAGAGCATTGAGATTGCTGAGGGAGTATCTTATTGATACTACTATGGGTGGGTGGGAGGGAGCATCTAGATGGGAAGGGGACAGGGACAGGCAAGAGAAGTTCAGGAGGAACTGAGGGACTCAGGTCAGGTGAGGACAGCACTCAGGCACGAAGGAGGCTCTGGTAGGACAGTGAGAAGGAGAAGGAACACAAGTGAACAATGAAGAGACACCTCAGCGGCTACTGTCGGCCCCTTCTTGTGCTGTCGGGCTGGACCTGACCTTGGGCCACAAGGGACACTTTCCTCCGCTTCACCCTGTCCTTCCTCGTTCCCCCAAGGGCACATGGAGGTGCTGCATCTCCTGCTGGAGCACGGAGCCAGGCCCTGCCTGGTCACAGATGTTGGTTGGACCCCAGCTCACTTTGCAGCTGAGTCGGGTCACCTGGGGGTCCTCAAGGTCCTTCATGCCCTGCATGCTGCCATCGATGCCCCCGACTTCTTCGGGGACACACCCAAGAGGATCGCGCAGATCTATGGGCAGAGTGCCTGCGTGGCCTTCCTGGAGATGTAAGTCTATCTCTCCCCAACTCCGGCAAGAATGAGAAGCACTGCCTGTGGCCGAGATCTTCCCAATCCAGTCATTTCTGGTCACGATGATGAAATGAGGAAATTCAACCAACTGACTACTGTTTGTTACTAGCTTTTAAATGGAGTTATTTTTATTAGTTTTTCACTGAAATGAGCAGTTTGGGGTGAAAACTATAATGACCTGTTGTTTTAGGTTATTACGAAACTTATATCTGTTAAAAGAATTGGGACAAGAAGTTTGAGGATGTATCATAGTCCGGGATTAACAATCCCTTCTTGAAGGGTTCCGTCAGTGACCTCAAGCTATATCTGAGCTTGCTGCATGATCTTATACAAGTGAAGCCACTTCTCCCAGCCCTCAATTTCCTCATATTTAAAATGAGACAGATAGGGGGCTGGAGATTTAGCTCAGGGTTAGGGTTAGCGCCTGCCTGGCAAACACAAGGTCCTGAGTTCAATTCCTGGTACTGGAAAAAAAAACCAAACAAACAAAAAAATGAGACAGATGAATTAGACTTCTACTTTTAAGACTTATCTAGCTTTTAAAGCTTCTATGTTTATCTAGACACCAAGATAAAGACACCAAGATAAGAATTTATCTAGCTGGCATTCCTAACTTTTTCCTCAGTCCAGCAATTGAACTCATTATGTATGAGCCAGGTACAAGCCAGGTACCTATACAAACCAGGTATCCCATCCCTGGGACAAAATACATGACATGCACAATTTAAGAAGAAACTTAACATGGTGGCTTAGGGTTTCAGAGAATTCAGTCCATTGTTGACCAGCTTGAAGGTGCAGTCAACATGGCAGAAGGGTCTCATGGAAGATAGCTGCTCAGGTCACAGCAGCCAGGAGGCAGAAAGAGAGACACAGTCTCCTAAGCCGTGCTTCAGTGACCCACCTCTTCTGACCAGGCCCCACCTCCTAACACACATCCAACTGTAAACTCATTGCTGGATTCATCCAGTGATACGTTTAATACTCCTATGGTCCAATCCTCTCCTAAAAACCCCAGATGAGACTTTTGGGGGGCATTTATATCTAAACAATCAAAGTCCCAGTTATAGATATAACAGTCATCTCTCTAAAAAGGACAAAAATACAACGTATCAATCTATAATTCCATTGAGTCAGCAAGTAACTCATCCAAGTAAAAGTTGAATATGAGAGTGTGGGGTTTACTGCTTGGAAACAAGGTTGGAGAGACACCAAATCCATCACTGGGGCAGTGTGTTATGGGGTGAAGGTGACAGTGACTCCCTCCTAAGATTAGATTGAAAATGCAGTTATTGTCAGAAAGTTAAAGCCGAGTGTGGTGCTGCACTCCCATGATCCCAGCACTTAGGAGGCTGAGACAGGAGGATCCCTGTGAGTTTGAGGCCAGCCTTGGCTACACACGATACTCTGGTTTCTCTTCAGATTGTATAAATCTTTTGCCTTTTACACAGTGAGTGCAAGGCCAGCCTACACTGCATAGTGAGACCCTGTTTCAAAAAAACAAAAAAACAAAAAAACAAAAACAAAAAAGAAAGAAAGAAAGAAAGTTAAACCAGTAAAGTCTTTGCCTATAATAAAATCAGTTGTCTGTAGAAGTAATCGAAGACTTCTCTTAAGGGTGATATCACCCACTAAAAACATCCATATTACAGACCTGGGAGTTAGGACGCAGAACCTGAGTGCTGATCGCAGAGTCCCCTCTCCCTGGTCTCTGACCCCTGCCTATGCTTGGTGACCTCCGTGCACTGTGGACGTCCACAACACGAGACCTTGTTCCCTGTGCTTTCAGAATTCTAACACACCACCGTATGACCATCCTTCCTTCATCCTGTCAGGTCCTACTCCTGTTCTTTGATTGTCAATACCTGTTTTCTCTCTTGATCTCTCACCTCCTGCAGGTTTCACCAACTCCCTCTGGACACAATGACTCATGACTTCTACTTTCTTCCAAGGTTCACTTCTTTCCAGCCCTTTACCATTCTGTTGTGTATACCCCAGAATCCCAACCTGGGGTGAATCTCTATATTCTCCACTCCTATGTTTGATCACCCAGAGAAATCCCACAAAAAAGCAAATGAGCCGGGTGTGGTGGTGCACGCCTGTAATCCCAGCACATGGGAGGCTGAGGCAGGAGGATCATTGTGAGTTTGAGACCAGCCTGGGCTATGAAATGAGCTCAAGGCCAGCCCAAACTGCATAGCAAGACCCTGTCTCAAAAAGACAAAAAAAAAAAGCAGATGAGTAGTGCCAGAAGGCTTAAGATGTCTGCTCTCTGGCTTCAGAGCAGGGCAGCTGTTTCTTCCTGTCCTGCTTGCTCAGCAGCCGTCTCAAGCCCCAGCCACACTTCAGCCTGCTTCTCCTGGGTCATCTTCTTGAGGCGAGGGGCACACGGCTTTCTATACCTCGACTTACAGACCCTGCACAGCCCCCACCCCTCCTCCTTGAGAAGTGGTACCCTGCCACGTGGACCTTTATATCAGGCCACCCTTGCTGTAGTATTTGTGCATTTTTACTCTTTCTCTGTATTTTTGGGTTATTATACCCTGCCTTTACTTCCTCTTGATCCATGAACTTGTTCAAATGGATCTTATGAAACAAACAGTTATAGGCCCCTCTTGACCTGCTGTCTTCCTCTCCGTCCCTATGCTTCTGAGCCCCTGGAAGTGCGATGTCTGCTTCTTCCCCTTCTCCAGATGTCTTCCAGATCTTAGTACTGAAACGCTCTCACCTACACTCCTGGGAAGCTGCCATTGCTAAACCAACCTCCTCTTCTCAATCACACCTTCCCACCATTAATTCCGCATGGATGTTTCCAAAACTCTAGTCCTCCTCTCCCGCTACTGTCTTAGTTTTCCTGCCCCTACCTCCTCCCATGATTTCTATACAGATTTCTCAAGCTCAGTCTTGTGACTTCTTGCACTAGAAACACGCAAGTAACTGTACTTGAGGAAGGAGCAGCCCCTGCTTTAAGCTGTCATTGAGTCAGTCTACTAACACCTCCCTGGGTTCCAGCTGGTCTGAGTCTGTATTAACACCTCTCTGGGGTCACATCTTCCTCACTGCTGTCATGCAAGCAGCGTCCTTGTTGTCTAACGCTCCGGGGCGACTGTGGACATGCGCTGACTCAGTCTCCCCTTCCCTCCAGGCCCTCTGTAAAGCCCCCACTCATACCCCTTTGTCCCCAGGGCTGAGCCGCAGTGTCGCGCCCACCGCCTGGCCGGGCTCCCCCAGGATGAGCACGACCCTGACTGGGATGCTGGGAAGTCCCGGCTGCAGCGTTCACTTCGGTCCGCAGCACCAAGCACCCGCCAGAGGAGAAGAGGCCACTGGGGGACCCAGCTTGGTGACACCCAGGAGCGGGGTCTTCTGCCTTCCAAGGACCCCTTGGCCCACACCAGGGGTCACAGGGCACCCCATGTTACCCAGGGGCCTAGCAGAAGTGACTTTCTGCAGCCCAGCAGCACAGCTGAAGCCACCTGTCGCTAGGGGGATGGACAGGCACCCGCCGTCAGCTGCCTGTGTGTGTCTCCTGCAATGGAGGCCTCCTGACCACCCCTGCCCCACTCTAATGATGGGAATTGGGGGAACAAAAAGTTTATCTGAAGAGGGGTGGCCGTAAAAGCAAAAACTTAAAAATCTCCAACATCCTCTGATCAATTAGTCCATAAAAACTTGCCTGTTGTCACACAGACGAGGCCAGGACGTGGACACCTGCATCTCTGATTCCTTCATGGGGTGGGCGCCACAAGCCCACACAGACACTTTGACCCCAGTCACCTCTGCACAGGAGGAAGAGCTGGGCAGAGACCAGGTCAGTACGGAAGAGCCGAACCCAGGACCGCTGAGTTCCATCCCATGCAACTAATGAGAGAGAATGGGAAGGAGTGGAACCTGTGGTTAAGCCTATGGTTTCGGGCAGGGGATACAGCAGTGTGGCACGGTGCCTGCCTGACAAGCATAAGGTCCTGAGTTCGATTCCCTCTACAGTTTCAACTATACATTTGTGAAAACTTAAATACAGATTAAATAATTCCGATAAAAAATATAACAGCTAAGTTAAGGTATAAAACACACATTGGATTGTGAACACTTCATGCAAGAACATGCAAAATGTCTCTATAATAATGTTTAATATTGATTTGTTGCTAATACTATAGCTACTGTAGGGCTGAATAAAATTTATTATCAAAATGAATTTTATCTCTTTCTTTTCATTTTTAAAAGCATGGTTTCTCTTATATGAGAGACCCAAGGTATAAATAAATAGAAAAATAAAAGGTCATAGGAAGCAGGGAGATAAATCTTTCTCAAGTGGGAAGGGAACCAAGATGTGGAGGGAGAGGGAAAAGCAGGAAGGGAGTGAGAAAAGGGATTAAGATGGGTCATGCATGTGTGCCAACTCCACACAAGAAATGGAAACATTGTAACTGCACATATGTACAAAAAAAAGAAAAAAGAATAAGAAAAGAAAAGGATCAAGAGATGGGTGTATCAGGCAGAGAAAGGGAATAAAAAGGAATTAGATGTATTATACACACATTATATATTATGCACCAGTTCCCACAAGGAATGTAAACATGTACGAATAAAGAAACTTTACAAATTAAAAAAAAAGAGAGACTGCTGCAATGTTTAAAATTATCTCGGTGGCCTGCACTGCATTTTCACTCACCAATAGCCCTGCTCTTGAATTCAGACCATACTTATAGCTTCTGCCGGAAGACAGGTCCAGACTCGTTTATTTCCATTGGCTCTTCCATGTTCTAGCTTTATTAAATTCTCTAAACCAGTGTCTTCAGCTACCAAACATCCATCCATCAATGACTGCTTCTGCTAATTCAGGGAAGGGTTGATCTGAACTGGTTTGAATTTTCTAAAGTAAATAATGCTTTAGTTTAGGAAAGCAATATGGAGGTAGAGGATGCCCTTTCTAACACCCCGGCCCCCAGCACTGATCCTCCTTCTCCACACCTTGGAGTTCATGGATGGTTCCTGCAGGTCACATTGGTTCTGATACCCACAGCACAAACTCTGGAAGACACTGACTCCAGCTGGCCTGCAAGATTCTTCTCCTGGGAACTAGGAAAGAAGATTTTGTGAGAGGCTGGGACAGCAACAGTTAATGTTGGAACAATGGAGAGGTTGATTCTACCACCAGGCAGAAGGAGTGTAGAGGGGTATTCTACAGAGAGGAGGGGAAATTGAGGCAAGAGATGGATGGGAGGAGGAGATAAACAGATAGAGAGAGACACACAGCTTTCTAGTTCCCACTTTTGGCTCCTTACTCAGGAATCTGTGAAATACTGTTTTCACGATAATATTTCACTTGTGAGTACATTAAACTAACACTTTTCTTTGCAACCAGACTTTTTCTAAGGACACTATTTTAATATGATAGGTTCAGGAGTCATGCTGACCTAGGCTTTATTCTCCTCTATGAACCATGCCAAACCTCCCTCCCCTCATGGGTGGCTGTGAGCTAGAACTCTCCAACTGATCCACACATGGCCATGGCTCCACTATGGAAGGGAGCTCAGTTTCCCCTGGGAATTTCAAGGGGATCCAGGGACAATGCTCTTCACAGGTCTGGTGAGAATGAGTCATCCTTGCCTAGCTTTATGGTGTGGAGAATAGCCTGTCCTCCATTGGCAAGGAAGACTGTGAGAGGGACAGTCTCCCCAATGGGCCTCTGTGCTGTGACCTGGTAGTCCCCTTCTATCCTTCTGCTGCCCTCCTTTGTACTTACTTTCATGGAGGTGGTAGGAGACGTAGTCTTTCCCTCAAGGTTCTACACAGAGAGTGAGGACAGGAGAAAGAGGGTTCCATGGGAGCTTCCCTGTGTGAAGTAGTTGGTGCAATAGACACTCCCTCAGCACCTTACCTGTGATTAGATCCAACCTGCACAGCACACCTGAAGGGCAGGCATCCTCATCTCTAGCTGACACCACACATTGAAATTCTGGGAGATGCAGTGGCTTCTCTTGGCCCCCCCCCCCAGACATGGATGGAGCACAAACTCTACAGGCCCTGTGAGTGGGCAGCTTGCCTGAGTTTTCAGTTTCTCCATCTGTAGACTGGGGTGATCCAGTGCCTGCATCAGCGGCCATGGTGAGGGTGAAATGAGACCAAGCATGTCCAGTACTCAGCACAATGGCCTCCATCCAGGGGCAGGGCATGCAGTTTCAGTTGTGGCTATTCTTTTTCTCCACCTTCAGTGTACCCGATATGCAATGAAAGTGCTCACTCAGAAGCATCAGCTCATCCCAGGGAGGGAACTTGGTGGTCCATCAGAGACCCCAGAGGAGATGCTCACCATATGCTGGACCTGAAGTTGGCTCCCTTCTGAGAGGCCTCAGAGCTGAAGTTAACTTCCTGGGACACAGGTTTATAGCTTGCAAAGTATATGGATTATACATGTCCCCTCCCAGATCGGAAGAGGAAGAGACACTTCTCTACACATCTTATTACTTGGATAACAAAGTCAGACAAAGACGTCACAACAAAACCACAAATATTCCTCATGAACACAGATGCCAAAGTGCTTAGCCAAGCATAGTCAAATCCAGCCCCATATGAGAGGGTCTTTCACTACAGCTGTGAAAGTCAATCTTGGTCAGCTGGATGAAGAAACTGAAGCGCATTACACCAAGTGTAAGGATGCCACACTCTGAAGGTTACATACTGTGGGAGCCACTTATGTGACACTCTGGAAATCGGCAACCAGGCTACAAAACAGATTAGTCATTGCCAGACACTGGGGTGGAGGAATGGTGGACTCCAAAGAGGCGCAGGTAAAGTGGTTTCGGGCCACATGGGGGTTCTTTATCTTGGTTATGGTCTGGTTACATGACTAATGTACACGAAAATGTGTACATTTTACATGGGTGACATAGACATTAACAGGGAAGGAATCAGTGCTTACTTAACTCATATTTTTTAAAAAAGCGGGAAGCCCCAGGAACTTCTCTGGCTGCGGGTGGGGTGAATGGACTCTCAGCCCCTCACACCCTGCCCCGAGAGAGCCAGTGTTCCGGAAGCATCTGGACCCCTTGGCTCGAGTCTGTGCTCACCCACACCACCACGGTTCCCAGCTGAAACTCACAGAGAGAGCCAGGTATTTCCCAGCTACACCTTGAGGGCAGAGCGCGCACATCAGGACCCTGCTGCCCAAGCCCCAGGAACTTCTCTGGCTGCGGGCGGGGCAAACAGACTCAACCCTGCACGCCCTGTGCCCAGTGAGCGAGTGCTCCAAAAGGCACTGACCCCAGGTGCAAGTCTGAGCTTTGCCTTTGCCCAGACCCCCTAGCCAGTTGAAGGCTGGGAAAGTCTGTGACTGATACCCATCTGGGCTGCATCTGGTTCCTGTATGTATCCTGATCAGACTGGAAACATAAATTCAGGTGGTTCACAAACTGCAGATCCTGCAGTTTGTGTCTGAACTATACCTGTACCCTAAATTACCTGGGGACATAGGTCCACGGACTGGGATTGCCACACCAGTGCAACTGGAGTCAGGTCACGCATGTGCCCTGAACTGCAAGGAGACACTGGATCAGACGGTCGGCCATCAAATGACACAAATGCCCATGTCTGAGAACGGGGATAACTAGATATAAATCAAAAACTGTTGGAAAACCCGAGACTAAGTAGCACTACTCAGAGGTCACCAGGGGCAAACCTGAACAACAGGAAAAGTAGGG